TATGGTTTTGGGGTTTTTTAGTGATATGGAGTTGATCTTCCAGTCAGCTGTATTCTTTTTTGATATATGTTTTTTTCTTTTTGTTTTAAGCTGCCCAGAATTGTTGAGAAGTTGGGCAGCCTCAAAATTGAATTAAATAAAATAAATAAATATCTGAGGGACCCCCAATCTGCCAGTAGCATCTTAGTACACAGTATGGAGATGGCCTAGAAGGAATTCAACGACTGTTATATAAACATCAGCTACACAAGAGAGGGTGAGAAGAAACTCAAGATTGCCCAGCCTTAATTCTCCTTAGTATGAGAGGGAGAGAGAGAATCTCTCTCAGACTTTCAGGATTCTATTATTATACACTGTAACAATGAAGTAGGGTTCCCTAACTTGATCCATCTTGAAGAGCTGACATATCTCCCCACCCAATAAGATTCTGTAGGGTAGGTTCGCTATGAGTCCCCTCAGAGATTGTCACTTCAGGGGTCACATAAGTGAGACTTTTCAATCACATCCTCTGGAATAGCATTCCTCCCAATGTGCAATTGGGTCCTTCCTCCCAGGTTTTTAGAACATTAGTGGAAACCTGGTTTTTCCAGTTGAGATTGCCTCTTGGGTCACAAGATTGAGTCTTTTTACTATTGTCAATTATTTTATTCATTATTCCTAGTTCCACAGGAACACTACGTGATTGATTGATTGATTGATTGATTGATTGATTGATTATGTGCCACCAAGTTGTCTTCAACTCCTAGCACCCACATAGATAGATTTTCTCCATGAGAACACTATGTAGTGGTTGTTTTTTAATTTGATTGTATGGTTTTAATCCCATTTATGTAGTGGGGAGTTGTACAGTGCTCAGTGGACTGGAATGGCCTATAAACCCTGCAAATAAATAAATAAACCTCAACCACAGATTGTGATAGGGGAAATAATTTTCACAAACCGAAGTACCACACTTTCTCTTTACCAGCAGGTGGCAGCATTGAGATGGTATTGAGTCAAAGAGCTACTCAGATTTGATTCTGTGAGTACATCACAAGAGTGAGAAATGGGAGTGAGAAATCAAATAGCAAAAAATGAGTTATATGCCACCAAAGAATGAAGGTATTTCCATTTCAAACAGTGGCCATATGCCTTTTCATTCTCCCCAGTCAATGTCCTGGCCACCAATTCACCAAATTGCCATAACATTTCATAGATATGCCAACAATGTCTCTTTTCCTTTGGAGCTGAGGCATGCCTGGGCTTTGTGCAAATGCAAGAGTAACAAGGACCGTGTTAGGTCTTTGAACAGAGTGCCAAGAGTTGTGCTCTGACCTGTACTTGAATAAAGCCAGAACAAAAACCATTTGATGTTTATAATTGATTCTCCATTCTGTGAACAAACCAATAAAAACATACTACTCTAATTCTGATTTTTTAGAAAGAAGAAAATATCTGGAGGTTTTCTGTAGTTTTGCATCTGAAGGCTACTTAAATCATAATATTGTCTCAACCGCAAGAATAAAGTAACTATTATAAAGTGTCCTACTTTCCATCTCAGTTCTGCTGCTGTTATGTGGTAGAAGGGTTAATGCTAGAATAATCAAAGCCACTCGTTTTGGGACTGTCTATGTTAATTACCCACAGTATTCTTCCCAGTGGCTCTGAAAAGTTCTGGGCCCTTGTTATAAATGCATCGATATTGTTTGTCTCTGCATGCACGCACACACACTTTTGCCTGCCTGCTGTCCCATTTTCCCAGTTAACTGTTTTGTTTTAATTTTGCTGAAGTTTAATAAACATTAAGCTGTGTTTTGGCCAGCTGATGTGAGTGGCGTGTGTGCTTCCTGGAATCTGGATGTCGGGAGCGAGTCAGAGTCTGCTGCGTGCAAACTAAACTGAAAACCACTCACAGTAAATGTCCAACATGGGGAAGCCCTGCCCTTTGCCATCTAACAAAATGTGAAAAGCTGTAAGGCCGAACCATCCAGAGTCTCCCTTGCACCACCGAGGAGAGCCATCATCGAACGGAAGACAATAACAGCTCTGTTCAAGTAAAAATAATCAAATGAGCAAAGATACTTCAGTAGCTGCAGGGCTGGCTCCTCCCATGGTTCTGAGGTACTTCTTGAAATAAGAAGAAAAGATATTGAAATGGGCAGTATAAGCCACATAGAACTGTAGTCCATGCCAGCCCATTTGTCCCCATTAACCAGGCACCTTTCTTGGGGGGGGGGCAGTGGGGTCAGGAACCTGGACCCCATCCCTGAGCTATTGTTGATCTTCAATAACTTGTCAGAAGTATTAATTTTTCAATACCCCAGGAATAGACTGCAACCAGAATCTCTTATTACAACTTACCTTTGTGTTTTTTTATCTTATTTGGAAAATTAAAGTCACTTTTCTTTTCTTTTTCCAACAGATGCTGCTGACTCAGGAGCAGGTAGGAATTTCTTTGTATCCTAGAATCTTTCTGCACCAGATTGCCACTGGGTGGTGAAGATAAAACCCACTTGCCTTTTACAAAATCTTAGATATGTGTATTATGTTGCTTCTAGCACAATATCCTCTCCAGAACCATTGGCTACAACTCCAGTTGCAATTTGTCAGTTTCTTATTGTTAACAAGTTAGACAAAGAAATGTTGTAAATAAGATATAATGTGTGAAATGTATGGTTTCATTCCTTGAGAATTAATTAATTCTTTGACCATGATTATGTCATTCTCTTCCATGTTAAAAAAGAAACCAGCTTTCTTCTTGGAGCAATATCCACATAAAAATTAAGCTTATTGCAGATATACACACAGGAGTGGACCACACACTGAGTGGACAAATTATATAGACTTGCATGTTAAGTGTTAATTTGTTCCTCAGGAGACACAATCATTGGAAACATTCTTCTAAAAGTCATATACAAATTCATTCAAAAACAGAGTGTTTGTTTCTTACTGGGCTTAAGTTGTTGAGCTTCAGTGGTTTGGGGGAAAGTTCCCTTTTGTTGTTATTATAACCCATCATTTTTTATTTAATTTTTTTGCCTCCGCGTCCGTGTTGACTCCTGGTGACTGCCTGGACTAGTCCCTGCAGTTTTCTTGGCAAGATTTCAAAAGTGGTGTGCCATTGCCTCCTTCCTAGGACTGAGAGAGAGTGACTGGCCCAAAGTCATCTAGCTGGTTTTGTGCCTAAGGTGGGACTAGAACTCCCAATCTCCTGGTTTCTAGCCCATTGCCTTAACCACTACACCAAACTCACTCAGAGAGAGAAAGATGTGTTGCTATCTATTGTTTCATTCTAGGTGTGTGTGTGTGTGTGTGTGTGTGTGTGTGTGTTAAAGTCATTGTTAACTCCTGGCGACTGCCTGGACACTCCCTGCAGTTTTCTTGGCAAGATTTTGGAAGTAGCTTGCCCTTGCCTGCTTCCTAAGGCTGAGAGAGAGTGACTGGCCAGGGTCACCCAGCTGGCTTTGTGCCTAAGGCAGGACTAGAACTCCCGGTCTCCCGGTTTCTAGCCTGGTGTCTTAACCGCTACACCAAGCTAGCTAGAGCAAGCTTTAATAGATGGCTAAGCCCACTGATCTAGCCATTTGTAAAAACTTAACCACTACGCCAAACTCTCTGTCTCTCTCTCTCTGTCTCTCTCTCTGTCTCTCTCTCTTTCTCTCCCCCATCATTCTACCTCTCTTCTATTCTTCCCTTCCTTGGCAGGTTGTAGAAAATCACTACACTCTGCAAGAATTGTTGGAGGCCAACCAGCCTCTGAGGGGTCATGGCCCTGGCAAGCGGGCCTTTCATTTTTCAACATGACCTTTTGTGGAGGCACTCTTATAGCCAAGCAGTGGGTACTGACAGCTGCTCATTGTTTCATCTGGTGAGTAATTGAACTGTAAAGTTAAATGAGAAAAACAGATGGCTGGCTATTGTTATGATGTTGATCATCTTAATAAACTAGAAATTTCAGGAAACAACATTATTATTATTGTATACACAGCAGCGTGAAATCACAGCTGCCAGTTCCTTAGCTGGTGTTGGCCTTCATTCGTATTGAGTTTTTCCCAAGAATCTAGGATGTTGTAATGTATCGGCATAGTATATGTGCGGATCCAAGCAGTGTGGCCTTTTGTAACTGATAGGTGGATGATTTGTCAATGTGCAGATTTTCTAAGTACTGTCCAAACAGTTTTTTGGCATGGCACTCCATGTGCCAATAACCACTGGGACCACCTCTGCCAGTTTATGCCATAATCTTTCAACTTCAGTTTTCAGATCTTGATACTTTGTGATCTTCTCCAATTCTTTGTCTTCTATTCTACGATCCCCTGGTATCGCCACATCAATTATCCACACTGTCTTTTTTTCAACCACAGTTAAATCTGGTGTGTTATGTGCCAAGACTTTATCAGTTTGTATTCGGAAATCCCACAGTATTTTAACCTGCTCATTTTCAATTACTTTTTCAACGATATGTTCCCACCAATTTTTCATTACTGGCATGTGATTATTATTGTTATTATTACTATTATCATTATTCAGAGAAGTCCACAGGGGAGTCAAATGAAGAAAGCAGCACTGTGTTGGGGGCAACCCAACTGTCACTTTGTTTGTGTTTGAATCACAATGAGGCATACACATACAAAAAGGACACAACAACACTTATCATTTTGACCAAAGCTTCAGATCCTGCCTTAGTTATATATTAATAAAATATTGCATTACTGTACAGAGTGTCAGTGGTGGGTACTTTCCCATTTGCATACCATTCAAGGTATACTTTTTGATGCTGTGTGTGGAAATTAGGGCTGGCTTTAGACTAAGAGTGAATAGGCACTGGGGGGGGGGGGCAAAGCTTAGGGGGTACCAATGCTGCTCCTGCTTCCAAATCATTCTAAAAATGCAGATCTCCACACTGGTGAGAAGTGGAACCATCAGCCAATTTGGCCTAGGGGCACTATGTACCCTTGAGCCAGCACCGGTAGAAATAGTTCACAAATGAATAAATATTGTTCCTTACTGCCAAACTCCAAGGAAGTTGTTGGTATCTTTGAATGTGGCAAAGCCGGATAAGAGGAAACATGCTGAAATTAAATGCAGACAAGACTTGGTGCCACTGCCAATGCAGATTTCAGGAATTTTTTCAACAAATGTTAAAATCCTGCCATACTCTTAATATGTGTGCATCCATAAGTTGCTGTTGACATTTTCTAATTGTTAATACTTACAGGATCCCTGCAGAAATTGAAGGATTAACTGTGGAGCTAGGTGTCCATCAACTCATGAACCCTTCAAATAACTCAGAAAAAAATGGCATCAAACAGATTATTGTTCATCCTAACTACAAAGCAAATGATACCCAGAATGACATTGCTTTGGTGGAGCTGAGTGCCCCTGTGAATTTCACTGACTACATCTCCCCCATGTGCCTCCCAAAGTCTTCTGTGCAGTTCGCTGACAATGCCAGCTGCTGGGTCACTGGATGGGGAAGGACAAAAAGCGACGGTGAGGAAAGCGGGACACGTGTCTTATATGGCACCTCTTCATCCTTTCGCGCCTTTAATGTGTGCCACATGGTTTGTTTTAAAATTTACCTATTGGCTTACTACACTAAAGTAACTTGAAGTTACTTTAAGGACCATAAAAACAACAACAAGAAATACTTTAATCCAGGAAGAAGGTAGAGAACATTCCCGACACAAACCTGAGAGGACAAGACCATTACTTTGCACTGACACTGAGGCCAAACTAGAGTTTTGTATAAAACACGGCACAGAGTTACACAATAGGGTTATAAATCAGAAGAAATCTGGTAGCACCTTTTTAGCCTAATACATGTTATGAAGTGGCGTAAACTTTCATGAACTACAACTCACTTCATCAGATGCGTGGAGTAGCCAGAAATGATGAAGGATTTAAACTGGGATGAGACCAGGGCAGGGGCAGCGGGGGGTGGGAGGTGAAGAAAGGGCAGGAGAGTGGTTAGGCAAATGAAGCACTTTATGGGTTTAAAAATCACTTTGGCTTACTTAAAAACAGCAGGTTCTTTTCATTTTTTTTTTTAAGGTTCTCATGGCTTCAAGAGTCAGCAGCAAGCTCAGGACAGTGACAGTAGCTAGTGGAACCTAGTGCCGCTAATATCCATAAGAATAAGACCAGCAAGGCTTAATCTGAGTCGGGTCTCACCAGACTTCGAAGGGGGTCCTTATTTACACAATAGCAGATCAAATCTGGGACCCGATTAGAAGTAGCAAAACAAATCAGGCGGTTTTCAAGTGCTTCTTAATCTTTCAAGAGGTTCAATTTGAATCAGTTTGCCCTCAAACTTTAAATTGTAAATTTGAACTGAATCACATCAGATCTCAAATCTTCAGTTTTAATTAATTCAGGCTTCTTCACAGAGGCCTAGTTATCTTAACCAGGTTTGGAAATCCAAATCAAATCAGAATCAAAGTGAACTGGAAATCTCAATCAGATCACAAATTAGAATGGAACCACTGACATGAACTGAATTTTCCCTGATTTTACACACACACACACACACACACACACCAGTAGCTACAGAACAACAGTGGGCAAGTAAGGATGTGTTACCTTTGGTTTCTGAGTTGGCATCCTTCTGATCCTAAAGATCTACACATAATATGGGTGGTGGTGGTGACAGCGGAGAACCCAAAGCAGGTGAATCTACCTGGGCTGGTCTTAAGGGGGAGTTTCAGATATTTTCTTTTTCTCTTTTTAAGTGACATGCCTGTTTTAGAACCTATCCTTTATTTTTCATCTGTTCTCCAGCTCCAAATAGTTTGTGGCCAGTTTCCATCAATCAGACAGCTCGGAGAGAAGATATAATCACAGGGCTGCATCTTACTTACCCCTTAGTCAAAGTGTAGCAACTTCTAGCACATCTCCCTTTTGGAAAAAAGATTCTTGATATACTCCAAGAAGCCAGCTAACATCTCTATGACCACCCTTTTTTAAAAATCAAAAGCTGATATATATGAATTATATCTCCCAGTATCCCCTATTTGCTATTCTGGCTGGAGCTGCTGGAATTTGTATTCATAAACATCTGCCAGGTCACACATAATGTACCTATGAGCTAGTTTCTAAGTTTCTGCCACCTGCTGGCACAAAAGGGATGACACTGAATACATAGACAGTGTAAGCACTGTTTTACCAGTAGATGGCACAAAATGATCCTTCTGATTGGATTATAATATATTAAAACAGAAGAGGATGATTTTTGTCTCCTTATACTTTAACCTTCCTTCGTATTACCTTTAATTTTTATAGAAGCTGTGATTGAAAGATTCTGTTTGCTTAGATTAAAAAAAAGTCTTTAATAGTGTTAATCCTTGTTCCTATCTGGCTGATGTTTGGGGAAATCTCAGATATCAGTGGTCATGGGGTGAGATCATAACAAATACAATTCAGCCTTGCCCTCCTATTTAAATTGTTAAACTGCAGAACAAACTGTATAACATTGGAAACAAAGCAATAAGGTAACAGAAGTATTTCAGATGGATTGCTTCCAGGTAGTCCCCAATATAACACCTCTTTGGTGCCCACCAGACTTCATGATTCTTATTATTATTCGGATTCTTCAATTAAAATAAACAAATAAAGATTAAATAAATGGGAAAAGAATGCTGATGGACTCCACACCCCAAAACTCTGGAGGTAGGCCTCTTGTCCAGGAAAAAAAAAACAGAGAAGGTAGTAGAAAGCAACCTTTCCATTTGCCTCCTGAGAAACTGATGTTTTGTGATTGACCTTGTCCACCATGTATGCCACTTTGTGAGAGTGCCCATAATATGTTCTCAAAATCCCAGATGTGTCCACCAGCCCCCAAAAAACAGGTGAAAATCTCTGTCTTAATTAATGTAAAGGGGTTGATTTATAAAAATTGAACTCTGTTATAAAAATGCCCTGGTTTGCTTTCAAGAACAGAACTGCTGCATTCCATGTCCTCCACTCCAATCTTCTACTGTTGTCTCCCTTATTCTGGTACTATCCAGATACTTTGGATTTCTGTGGATAATGTAAATTGTTGCCCAACTATTCTGGATACAGAAAACAATTCCAAACCATTTATCATATGAACATAATGATAGCTATGCCTGACCAGGCCAGAAGCTGAAGATCTTCCTTGTCATAATAGCCAACTCTTCTAGGTAACCCACAAGCAGATTATAAAGACAACGGCTCTTTTTGATGTCACTGTCCAGAAACTAGTTACAGTGTACACGAACATGCCTATTCCAGTTTGCTTTCACGTTTAAAAGATCTTGTTAGATCTCATTCTCTTCTGAAGTGGTCTTTGGGTCAATCTACAGGTTATACTAAATATACAGCAGTGCAGTTAGTGCTTCTCTTTCTCTTCCCCACTTCCTCTCTCTCCTGATAATAGAAAAGAATGATCTGGATCTGATGTAAGTATAGGCTGGAGATAATTAATCATTGCTCCCAATCTCTTTACTTCTAAATTCTTTCACCTAACACTGGAGAAAATGTTAGGACATTTTATAATAATAATAATAATAATAATAATAATAATAATAATAATAATAATAA